TTTATTATTATTCAACATCGTCGGCTCTACATTGTACATAGTTTTTGCAATATCTTTATTATATTTTTCAGAAATCTAATTCTGATAATAAATTCTACCGTATCGGTCATGAAACACGAACTTCTATTTATATTAATTGGCGGAGATCTTGTCGAAGACTTGAACATTTTATGAATCTTTCCCATGTATCAAAAAAATTTTTGATCGTCGGCGAAGTTTTGACTTTGCTTTTTCATAAAGCGTGGAGTCTTAGTAAATAATTGGATCAACTGGATACGTGTTATTTCCACAAAAAATCATGTTCCCTCTATTTTAGGGTTTTATTTGATAAGTGGTGATTTGAGAGTCGCTTGATTTGCCGAATACTTGTATAATTACTTTCTGTGGTTACCGGTGTTAACCTGTTTCATCAATCCCATCGGCGTCACCCGCGGTCACGCCTTCAGTGTCTTGATTCTTTGTGATAAATTCATCATATCCCTTTTCCAATTCCTCTAGCCAACCAGGATTAAATACGAGTGTGTCATGTTTCACCCCTGGTTTCAAGGCGCCCACACGACTCAAGGCGTAAAGTTTATCTTTAATAACTTTATCCTCTTTAGTGTCTATTGACTTATTTTTTCCATCATTAATATATAATCGAGCAAGCGAATCTTTTCTAATTGCCTTTAGAACATATGTTGATATTTCTTCGAAAAATACGCAATCTTCGGGTGAGAGACCTTTTGAATTTAAGAATCGTTTTGCGAATGAACTTGCGAGAATAACTTCGATGGGTACACCGGGAAGTTTGACGAACCTCTCAACTTCTATACTTGAGGTTTCCGAAGTTGGCATCTCATTTACGCTTTGATTTTTCTCATTGTTGGCATCTGAATTTGTCTTATCTGATTGTTTGTCTTCTTTGACCACGATAAGACGCCCATCCCCAATGAATTTCTCGATAGTTCTAACCACCTCTTGATGCCGGTCCAATGATTTTGGCTTCGTCTTAATCCAACGAACATACTTGTTTTCCAACAACTGGATCAATGCCATTCGCTTTTGACTCTAAAAAGCATCAATTCAATCAAAATATTAACATAAAATCGAATCCTCCGCGCATTCAAGAATGTTACTTGCCTTGCCTTTAGGGTAGTTTTGCAAAAGTAACTCGTAAATCTCCTTTTCCTCATCTTCCCTAGTCATCGGGTGAACCTTTTCGTAATTCAAGTAAACGCAATTCATTTTATCTACGCGAATATTTTCATAAACCTGAATTCCAGCAAAAGCATCGGACGAAGCATATGAAACTAATTCAGGATCAAGTTTAGGCGCATCAAAATTCCATTTTAAAATCTTCTTCGTTTTCGTTAAGACCAATTCTCCATCTCCAAACATTGCCGTTAATTCCAACAGAGATCTCGCAGAGTATCCTTTCTCTTTGGCGATATTCTCGATATCCACAATTCCCTGGCATTTGATGTTATAAGAATTTTCCAACCACCCTGCGTCATGGCTCGCATTAACCCCAACCTTTAAAATATCTTTATTGCTCAAGAATTGCTGTAGTTTCCTAGGAAACTTTTTGGAATCCCCGTTTGTAATTAAATATACTTGAAATAAAAAGCAAATTTCGCGTGTAGCAATTTGAATCATAGAAACCACATGAGGGTTTTTCATCCTGCGGACTGTAGTTTCCGTATCAAATCCAACGTATCCAGAATGCCAAGGGTTGTACTTCAAGATATCGAGACAACGCTCGGCTAAACATCAAAGAATATGTATCAGCATAGTCAAAAGCAAATTTATTGTAGCTTTTCAAATTATTTTCCATACCAGTAGTTTTATTCGATATTTGATATACCGGAGGATTTAATTGAACTTTTGGGATTCTTGACTTATCTAAAAGATTTATTATCGACACTGCGGATATATTTGTATAACTTCGCGTTTGCATCTCATTATACATTCTTGCTTTAAAACATCCAGGAACCCGCAGGACGGTTTTCATCCTATCAAGCTATCACTTTTTGTGTAGTACGGTGTACGTATGTCGGTTATGTCGGTCGACCTTTGACATATAGACTAAAGCCAAAAGGGATTTCTATACATGGTAATTCGCATCGATTTCGGATCCACTTACACCAAAAATAATAATGTCCCAAGGAATATCTAATTACCGTTGTACAGAACCCAAGTTTAGCAAGAAAATAACAATGCTAGTTTAAAACATTAAATATATAAAATAACTTTTTTCTTTATTTTATATGTTCTTTTTCTTATATGCAGTATATTGCAATTAATTATTAGTCCGGAGTGAAACGAAGGACTATATACAGTATTTCTATGCAGTTTAATCGCTTTCAATAACATTATTTGATTGGTTGATTACGGTAATTTATATTATATTTTATTAAAATAAAGATTATTAAAGTAAACAAACTCTTGACATTGCAACAAAAGAAAAATCAATAGTAAACTTTTTACCTTTTTTTATTTTAATTAAACTATATATTATGATATTTTATTTACTTAATTTTTTTTATACAAGTATAATATATAAAATATATCAAACATTATCAATAATAATAGATTACAGCTTAATATCTATTTTATTTATTTTCATCTAACATTTAAGAACCTATCACTTTTAGCAATTTTTCTTGTAAAATCAAAGAAGAATCTATAGGATATAAAAATTCTATTATTAATTTAAATTATTTAATCTATATAGTTCAACTTTATAAAAAAAAGTCTTATATTTTTAATAGTAATATAATTTTTGAAATATATATATAATCTAAACTTTAAATTATATCTTTGTTATTTTTAAATAGGACTTATACAAAACTATAACTCTTTTTACTACTTATAACTAATTGTTTTTTAAACTAATTAAATTTTATATCAGATTGAAATAGTTTAAACTATATATGTAATTATATTATTGATTTTTATTATTTATGGTAATACAATTTTTAATTAATTTATTATATTTTTAATAGTAATACAGTTTTTGAAAAATGTTTAAATTCAATTTCACTACATGTATAGTTTAGATTAGAACTTTAATTACTATTAGAAAAAAAAGATCAAAATTAATTAGAATAAAGTATAGTTAACACTAGTCCAAATTGAATTATTCAATTACCAAATTACAGTTGATTAAATTCAAATTTATTAATAAAAGTTTATATTGAAATTTTGTTATTTGGTCTAATTTATATTATTTGGCACTTAAAAAAAATCCAATAATTTAATAAAAAAAAATAGAATATTTGGTAATAAAATTATTTAACAAAAAAATATTTCTAATTAAAAAATATTTGATAATAAAATTACAATATTCTATAATTTTTATTATAACATTTAACAAAATTATTTGGCATTATATACATCAGTAAAATCAAAAATCAAATTGTATATTTTTAATAAAAAATTTGCATTTATAATAATATTTGGCAAAATAGATTCCATTCAATAAATCAAACAATCTTGTCACCTTCCTTGAGCTAGAAGGATGCCAGACTCCCCATCAACTATACAGAGATAAGAGAAAAACCTTATCGTACATACTCTCAGGACATAAAAACCCAAATCAGCTTACCCCCTCCAAAACCAGAGTATTACGA